GGTGTAGGCAATAACAAAAGGCCGGTTGATGAGATTATAGCCTCAGGTCAACACCAGAGATTTGGCCTTGTGGGAAAGTCCAGGGTTTTTCCTTTTTGGGGTCTAGATCCTATCCTCATCAATGGAATCCTAGTTGCAGAGCTGGAAGGAATATTAGATGTCATCAATCCAACCCCCTCATTTTACAAAGAAGGAAACTAAGGCACAGAGTGGTCAAGTGACTTCCTCATGGTCATACCCCTAGTAATTGTCTAGGGAAGGATTCAAACTCTTCCTTGACTCCATGTGTAGAGCTCTACCACTTACATTACGCTTCTTCTCCAAATCAAAAACAAAGTGATTATTATTGAGATGATACAAAAGCATTTGGAGATCTTTTTAGGTGCTGACTATATTGATGTGGTGCCAAACTCCAGAACTACAAAAACAAACAGGAAATAGCTCCTACCCTCAAGGAGCTCATATCCTTTTGTTTTAGTCCTAATGGAGGGAACACAAATAGTGCACATAAACCCAGAGAGCGCATATGTGTGAGGTAGGTTCTAGTTATTTTAAGAGACAGAGACAACTCAGGAAAGATCTGCTATGTAAGAAGGAATGACTGAACTGTGCTCTGAAGCACTACAGAAAACATTTTGGTAACAATTGGTCTCTTAAATAATTTTGGGTCAAAAATAAGATTTTTTTTTAAAAAGAGCACTAATATTTATGAGTTCTGTCCAAAAACTAATGCTGTATTTAATTCTTCATGGAGGCAGTGGTGGTGGCAGGCTTTCCTAGTATTTAGTTGATTGGAAGTGAATACTGAAGTTTGTGGATTTGCTAATTTTGTGAAATAATGAATGATTCTATTGTCTTCTAACATTTTTGAACCAAATCTCTGGGCTTAGTGGACTTGCCTACTGACCCATATTTGTCACCCTTATTTGTCCAACCAATATATAAGATGGCATTTCATTATTCCTATGAATTTTTAACGAAATAAATGTTCTAACTCAGGAATACCCAGAGGGGTGTTTTACATATGTTTCAGCACAAGGAAATTCAAACCAACAAAATCAAATGATGAGATGCCATTGTTCTGTTTTGTTTTGCTTGCTGGAAAAAATGTTGATTTAGATCTGTATGGGTAGGATTTATTTAAACAACAGTACAGTAAAAAAGAAAATGTTGCTAGAAATGTGAAATGTAAGGCTGTGCAACCATGGTGGCACAGTAGATCTGGAGCATAATCTGAAGTTAGCAAGACAGAGTCAAATTCGCCTCTTCCTTTGACTCACTATGTGACTCTGAGTAAATCACCTCGTGTCTCTCTTAGAATCCATTTCTTCTGTGAAATAGGGGTAGTGTTCCTTTTATCTACCTAGGTTGTTGTGAGTCTTAAACAATCCTTGTTGAATTGTTTCAGCCATGTCTAACTCTTCTCAACCCCATTTGGGGCGTTCTTGACAAAGATACTAGAGGGGTTTACTATTTCCTTCTCCTGCTCATTTACAGATGAGGAAACTGAGGCAAACAGGGTTAAGTGATATGCCCAGGGTCACATAACTAGACTGAGGCTGGATTTAAACTCAGGAAGATGAGTCTTCCTGGACAAGCACTCTATCCACTGAACCGCCCAGTTGCCCAAACTATTATTCAGTGCTTATTAAGCACTTAACAAGTAAGTGCATGAGGTGGGATCCAGCATGCACATTTCTAAGTATAAATAAAACACAAAACAGATACATTATAACCTTGGGGAAAAGGTGGGATAGCCTTGGGGGACAGAGACTAGGAAAGGCTTCCTGAAGGAGGTGGCTCTTGAGGTGAATCTTAAGGGAAAGCAGGAAACCCAGGAGGCAGAGACAAGCATGAAAGTCCATTCTAAGCATGATGGGTGGGCAACAAAGATAACATATGTAGAGCACTTTGGAAACTATAGTCTCAACTTTTGTCATTATGGTTTTGAAAGGCTGAACCCTATGAAAAAAAAGACAGAAAATGGTTAAAAGGGGAGTCAGGGGAGCATTGCATATTGAGAAGATACACTCACAGGAGGAAATCCAGTAAAGATCAATGAAGACAGAAATAGACACTTTATATAGCTATCAGAAAATTCCGCAGTTCACCTGGTCAGAAGGAGGAAACAGATGAATTAAGGGAGCAGATGGCAAGCCTGGAGGCATGACCCAGCAATAATTGGGAAATTCAGTTACCCAACAGTCAGTTAGAGAAAGAAGAAGAAGTTTAAAATTCCTTCATTTAACTCATCTCCAGTCCCTGGCTTTCTCCAGGTCCCAGCTAAAATCCTTAATCCTCCTTAATGCTAGTGCCTGATCTCCAAGATTAGCTCCATTTTCTCCTCTCTGTATCTTGATTGTACATAGTTGTTTGCATAGTGTCTCCCCATCATCTGTGAGCTCCTTAAGAGCAAGGGCTGTTTGTTTTTTCTTTTTGCTTTTCTTTATATCCCCAGCACTTAGTCTGGTGTCTGGCACATAGCAGGCATTTAATAAAGATTTTATGACTTGTTTTGATTTTACTGAGAGTTTTAGTCTTCAAAAGGTAGAGGAAACAAAAATGGGAAATTTTATTGTGTATCTTTAATAAAGAGAGGATTAATAATGAGGATCTTGGGTATGGAATGGTAATGGTGGGAACATTGCTAAGTAATGACCACTCCATCTTAGAAGATATGATAGAGAAGAGAAAGGTCAATCAGAATCTGACATGTACTGTAGATTTTAAGGGAAAAAAAACTATTTTAAAGGGCTCAGAGAAAGCCTATGTAGGATCACACAAACTAAAAATCAAAAGAAGAAGTCAGTCTAGAGGAATGGACAGCCCTCACAAATGAAATTGTGTAGACACATTGAGGAATAGTATCTTATAATGAGGAAAAGAAGGAGTTGTCTAAAGGAGCCAATGAAGATATGCAGGGACTCACCAAACAATGTA